TTGTGCTGGCCAGCTCTAGGCCCCCCAGTGCAGAAAGGGCTGCACACAGATGTTACACAGCCAAACAGCTCATCAGTGGAGGAAACCAGGTCACTTCTCCTGTAGGAAGATCACTAACAAAGTGATTTTGTCACAAAATGTCTAATCTGTCTCTTTTCTGAGTCAAAACACTGGACACATTTCTAGCAGAAGATATTTTAAGCGGCAGTCCCTCCCTAAACTTTTCCAGATWCACAAAAGAACTTCTCAAAAGGATTGCTGTGCTGTGTGATCACACTCCACTGAGGACTCATCCATATGGAGCTCAGTGATCGCTGTGTATCTTTTATAAAGATATATCCCTTGTGAAGGCACATGTCAGATGCAAAATTATTGAGAATCTCTGCTCTTACTGGAAAGATTTCATTTTACRGGAGAATTTCTAGCAGCTTTTGTGACATAGATAGGAAACAGAAAAAGATCTTTTATCAAATGCAAGCCACTAATAAACTAATTGGCAGACTCGGTTTGAAAGCCACCAGCAACCATGGGACCTGCTTCCTGCCCAGCTGATGCCTGCCTGGCCTGCTTGTAGCACATTGCTCATGAGGAGTTTTGAGCACACTTGTCCTTAGCTTAAGAGCTTATTAAATCCTGGYTACCTTCTGCATGTGCTGGGCCAGTCAACAGCTGAAGAACTGAAGTATCCTTGTAAATCGTGCATCCCCTGCTGGCAGAGTCTCTCTTACCCTGCTATCGATCACTGAACTGATTTAAAACTGAGTGAAAACAAGTGGTCTTTGTGACWAGAAGCCTTATTTCCACAGTGCAAAACCCCCCAAACAAACAAAAAGGCAATGGACAGCCATAAAAMGAAACGAAACTAACTAAAAAAACGGGGGGAAATCTAATTGCCTGGATAGAAAAATATAGGCTGAAATCATGTTGCTGTACTTCTTTGTATCACGACTCAATGAAAAGCAGTTTTCAGTGTGAGCTTTGGCAAACCATTCGTCAAATGGATTGAACAATTTATTTCTGAACTCTGCTTCATACATGCTGGCTTTCAAAAAGGTTTTGGTATTTTRTAAGAAGCACAATCAGAACTAAATGAACACAAATATTTGTGTGCATGTGTATGTAATGCAACCCCCCCCACCCAAAATTTAGAAGAAATATCTGCTACTAACATGTCACATCTAATAAATGATAATTTTATTTTTAAAAAGTTCACAGAAGCAGATCATTAGCACATGTCAGTATTTGTTAGGATGGATAAGCACTTGYGAAAGACAAAAAAAGTCAGTATTTAACGCTTTACTAATAACTAACAGTGATCTAGGACAGGTATTGTCCATGCATGAACTAATTGATGTTTTCAGTCAAAAAGTATATATTATTTAAGTACACCTTGTAAATCACATATATTTAAGTGAATGTATTACTTTTCCAAAAACATATCCCAGCATATATCTACAAAACCAATTAGAATTTAAAATTCAAACTAAATTCAGAATTGTTTTTTGTATTAGTCCCATATCAGCTGAATATTTACACATGTTTTACCTGAGGCACAAATCAGTTTTACTCAACAGCAGCTCTTGAACTCAGACAAATACTTAAATATCTTACTGGGGCTGTGTCATTTGGTTGTATCTGCACATTAAGACTTTAAACTATACCTGTATTTATAATATTTAAAATATTTTCCTATCTCATATTTATAAATTGTTACTATAGTATATTCCTGAGCATAGTGACATGTAGAGGAAAAAGACTGGATGGGACAGCCTTGTGGTGGCAACTCACCCATGTAGTGCAGCAGCGTGTGCAATAGTGGTGCAAAACTGCAGGGAAAAAAGGGAAAGAACCTAATGATCTAAATTTTAGCCTGTCTTTATAGGTTAGATAGCACTGAATTGAAAGATAACCTGTGATCACCYGCATTTACCATGGACTAAAAGGACACATATAACATTTTACAGCCCAGGACATTTACAGCCCAGGACCAGTTTTGTGTGTGTACCCCTCACCTGCACACCTGCCACTACTGTCACACACTCAGCCTTTRCACTGCTGTGCCTTGGATAATGCAATTGCTTATATCAATAATATCAGCTCAATTTCCCACATGTGACCAGCCAGTAGGATTTTTATAATGACTGACCTGCCTTCTCCTGCCCACAGCAGATGCTTTTCTAGAGAAGAATTAACCATATAGAACTCAATCCGGCAAAATAGTGTAAGACCTCAAGAGCTTCCAACAAGACTGGGAGCCAACTCTTGACAAGTTTCTTCACTACAAAATAGATTTTAAAATTCAGCCAAACATTGTTACATATGCATCTTTCAAAAACTGCACATAATTCTGCATRCTCTCGTTCTGGTATTCTGACTTCTGTAAGCTGTTCTCCAGCTCTTTCAAATGTGCTTCATGGTGCTTTTCATTCTAATAAAAAAAGAGAAAAGGAACTTAGAAATAAAATATAAATCAATCAAAATAATAATCTAAGACCACTAGGATCTATTATTTATAGCCTTATGTATCTGCAAAAGTTTTCAAAGGTTCCACAAAAGCAAAGGTGCTAAAACAGGCCTTAAAAGATTGAAGCTTTTGTTTCTATTCTGTCAGGACCAAACTGAACATGTTTGGATAGACTTAATTTAAAAAAAAGRCCTATAGAACAAAAGGGATATCACTGCATTGCTATGGAATTTCTATGCATCTAATCAAATCTAAATATGCTTACTGAACACAATTGATCTGAGAAGGAAATTACAACTTCATATTCTTCTTTTGTTTTTTGTCTTGCTGRGAAAACTGAACTGAATAAGAGCTATAAACTCAGTATTATTCAAGTGATTTAGTTAGACTGGGCATCTGTTAGGTTGATGGGAAATGTCAATGTAAAAAGTATGAAGTAGTCAAGTTGAATTAATTTACTGTTCTGGAAAGTGTGTATCAACCGCATTAGTAGTGTGTTTTCAGTAAATGAAACTTTATTTTAAAAATGGTAACGTGGTAAGTGATTTCTTAAGTTACAAGGAGCATTATTTACTCACATGGTGAAATAAGTAGAGGAATTGTTTTTTTTCTTCTTGCCTCTTTTTCACTTCAGCTTCAAGAAGTAGCAGTTTTGCCTGAAAGACTTGCTCTTTGCAAGACATTTTTTCCTGTATTTCAGCTACCTATAAAAGTAATGAAAGAGAAATTATATATATATATATATATTATACATAGTACAGATATATTTACTCTCAAAGCCCAAATCAAATTATTTTCTTATATCTTAACATAAATAGCTCCATTTCCTGTTCTTTAATCTAATACTTATTTCCCATGCACAGGAATTAAGCAAACCTGAGAAATATTCTGGCTAAATTTGAAAGATGCTTTAATTTTGGAAAAAAAACGTAATACTAGAGGGAGTGGAACACTTTTTAGCTCATTTTAAAGTTAAGCAAAATTTTAGGTTTTTCACAACCAAAGAGATATCCTCAGACAGTACTGAAATAATCAGATAGTTGATTTCAACATTATTAATATGAAATTACAACTTCATACACTTTTTCTGATTGAACTAATATAATTCACTGCAATCTAAATTCCAACATTTTGTCTCACATTTGATTTACTGTTTGCATCCTTTCTACAAATGGCAAAATTTGTCATAATATAGAAAGAATGCAAACTTTTCCTTTAAAAAGAGAAGGATTTCAATAATGGAGTTTTTGTGGGCTTCTATACCAAAGAAAGTAAAAGGTAAGATTATGCTTTTGTTCAGAAACTTTTTGCCTTATGTATAGGATTTAATTTTTGGTGGTTAAAGCATTTAGATTTGCCAAAAAAACTCAAAACCAAACTAATAGAAAAACTTGGTCCATTGAAACTTATTATTAAAGGATACAAACTTGACAAAGAAATTGAATTGTTCTATCCATATTTAAAACATGCAGAAATTCATTGTAACTTTTTTGTATTAGTCCCTATATGCAAAACAGTCTTGTCCCATCATTTTTCTGAAGCATATTTTTTTCCTGTTATTTTAAAACAGAAAATAACAAACAAGATTAAGAGTTGTATTAAATCACCAATACCGTTTTTCTCCCATCTTCCAAAGCAAATTCAAGTTGTCTGGCTAATGAATTATATTCTGCAATTTTTTCTTCAAGCTGCAATTTACTCCATTGAAGACTCTCATCTCCTTTTTTGAGCTGACAAGCAAGTTCTTCATTCTGAAATTCCATCTCTCCTAATTTCCTTTACACAAAACAGATTCATGCATTATAATTCACTCTAGCAGAAAGGTCTAGGAATGAATTTCAATCATATTTTTAAAGTTACCTTGTAAGATCTTCATATTTCTTCTGAATGTTACAGTTGTCTTCTTCTAGGCAAAGATTGCCTATAGGAACTACACTGTGGTTATCCTGTGAAAATGACAGTTTGTTTCTAATTGAAGAGACCTGTATGCAGGAATTTACTAAAGTAAGCCTGCCTATTAAAATCTAATGAAGYGATTTAACCATAATTTCAGATGAATGCTATGCTGTATTCAGACAAATGTTATATTCTATTCAAGTAAATATTGTCTTGTATTTAAAATTAATAAAATATGGCCAAAGTAGCAGACTAAAATTTTGTGTGAATAATTTAGACTGAAAACTTGGTAGGTAACAAAGTCCTAAAAAACTCCATATGCTGCTCATGCAGCCTCGTGTATTAGGAGTTTGTCAGGTCTACCTCCCTCCCAGCAAAAATAGGCTGTCCACAATACAGTCACAGCAAAAATAATACTGCATACATATATGGTTATCACAGAAGAACAGTGCAGCACTGGCAAAGAATTTCAGAAAGAAGTGAATCTCAAAAAAAGACTATCAAATTMATTCGAAAGGGTCTATGAGCAGGAGAAGCTGAAGGAAGCAGAAGACAAAGTGTCTTCTCCTGCCCAGTATCCAGAGTGCTAAACATTTATATGTTTTCTTCCAAACCTCAGTAGCAAGGAGATTATTGCTCCTTTGACCACTCATCAGCAGCATGTTAACAATAAACAAACACATCAACAGCCTGCTGGCACCATCATTTAAAGGGGGAGCTGCCATGGTTATCTGAACTACCTCAAGCAGTCCCATCCAGCAATTTGAGCTAATCTGCCTGATTTTGTTTACAAGAACTACAGGCTGTTCAGGTAGCAGACTTTTAGTAGCAGAAATTAGTCCAGCAGAACCCAGATGTTTTCTGCAGAGGGAGCAATTACTCCAAAATACATTTTCCTGAATTCTGGTCATAGAGTCAAGGATAAAGGACATCACCAAGACTTAATGCTGAAATTTAACTACTGTTCCACCAGACTAGTGACTGTATTTCCAATTATTTTGCTGTACTTAAGAGGTTGTTTCACATTTTAAAAAAAAAACCCCATGTAGTTAGATTAAAATTATATGCATCATTTTATACTATCTATAAATTTTGCACCCCAGAATTAATTATTGCTTAAATGCTTTGCAAAACAATGATGGACTTGAGAGTTTATGAACATTCCTGGTAGAATCAAAAATCAAAATCTATTATTTTTATAAATAGCTGTAGGAGCACAGAGACTTGCTGTACTTCAGCTCTAGTTTTTCAACTGACACAGCAAGATGATTAAGCCYCTTTCCCATCCTACTAACTTAAAAATGTTTTTCATTTGTGCTCTTCTAACTCAAAAGCACATTAAAAAARAAGACAAAAGACAGTAACAAAAAAAGCCCAAACCTATTCTGCCATTGAAATTGATGTTACAGCAAAAAAAGAACTGAGGAATATTCATATTCAGGTTATAGAGAAAATACCAGCATTAGTGTTAAATAAAAAACAGGAATTATCCTCTGAAAGCATATTTAAAAAATATTTAATCAGCCAAAACATTACAATAATTTAAATGGTATACATAATCAAGAATATAATTTATCTGATTAAATATTGTATGGTTTATGAAATAGCTGTTAATAAAAAAACTAATGTAGAATTAAATCATTCTACTAGATACAAACAATATTTAGTCTTGCATTTATTTCAAGGGAAGAATTCTGCAATACGTCAGGACACAAATATTCAAGAAGACCAAGAATAGACTCACTCTAAAAGTAAAAAGTCTTGCCACATAATGAATTCACATAAATATAGTTGGCAACAGTTGTATTTGCACTGTGCTATTTCTATAGAAGAKGCTTTTGATTTATGAAGAAAATAATGAAGGAAACCCCACCACTGTCCCATACACTAGGAAAAAATGTCCCAGAGACTTTTTTCCACATAATTTTCTCATTTATCTTTAGAAATCAGCATGTTCTAACCACCTGAACCTCGAGCTCCCTGAGGGGTTTGCATTTCTGTGCACGGATCTTTTCCCAGGACATAAGCTTTTGCTGCTTTTCCTCAGCTGCTTTCAGCAAGTCACAAGCATGTTTTAAATCCTTTAACTCAGCCTCCATTTTCTCCCTCACCTGCATAGTAGCATCACAGGAGAAAAATGTAAGTGTAAAACCATAAATAATTATTGTAATATTTAATGGAATTTCATGTAAGTAATAAAAATTCTACACAAGTTGCATATCACCTATTTTTTAAAATACTGACAGAGATTCAGGTTCTTTTCTGATGCTTAACAATGTGGTGTGTTCCAGTGTTTAGCTACATCTGCTGAAAAACTTACAACTCTCTTAAAACTGTATGGATTCTCAATCTTAACTGTTCATTTAAAAAAAAAAAAAAAAGCACTTACAGTAGATTTGCTTCCTTACACAACTTTCACTGCTGTTCTGTTAAAAAGTTAGTTTTAAAATCATTAACAATAAAATCACATTTTTTTAAAGAGATAAAAGAATTCTRGAATTCTAAAATAGTAGCCCAACTACTCAGTCATTGCACTAGGAATCATTGCTCATTTGTTTGCAGTYGTGTAGTAACCAAAAAACACCAGCTTTAGATAACACTTACTRAAACTCTCAGAAATTTAAAAACAAGAGACAGTACCTTATGACTTCTGATAAGATGACAAAAACGTAGAAAAKAACAGTATCCTACAGGATTGTTTGGAAACATTCTTTATTACTGCAAAACTTACCTTATCTATTTCTAAGCATTTGTTTTCTGTTATTKTTTTGTTTTCATTTAAGACTGTTCCATATCTGGATTTCAATTCTTCTACTTCAATTTGTCTTTTTTGTACCTAGGACAACATATATTTTTTACATACATTTGCAAGGTCCTTCATAAATATAGAAARGATAGATTCATAGTATGAAGCAGAAAGGAAAACCATTGATTTCTAAATATTATCTCAAAGTTTGTCATTATTTGAAGTTATKTATTTTCATTATCCTACTTGTCACAGTAAAAATAAAAGGGTTACTAGGTAAAGAGAATTGTCATATCAGCYGTGTGTGTTATCAACAATGGAGAATGAGCTACAGTGGTGCTATAGAAGCAGCCAGTGTCACTCACACCTCTCTCCCCAGACAACAATTCCGGACACTTCCCATCTGGAGACACCACAGCTATGAGCTAGGGAATTTCACTCCACTCACTGCTTAAGGCTGGCTGTTSCCTGTAGTTACATCTATCATTTTAAAGCTGGCAATATCTTTAATTGTGATGATGCATTCCACAGACAAGGCTCACTGGCTTTGTATCATGTCKTTCTTTTCTCTTGTCAATGATTTAAAAAAAGAAATAAGTGAAGAATGTCTGTGAAATTGTRTCTATACTACAGCAGAAATATATACGTATTTGAATCAATGCCTAAAATTTCTATGCGAATAAAGCCAAATACAAAAAATGAATTTATAAAAAGCCCATTTTAAATTTGGGTTATTTTTTCACCGGTATTTTCAATGTGGACTTACCTATTGAAATAAAAAACTCATATGACCCTATACTCATAACCCTTACCCTAATATATATTGCTTGAATGTACTTGAATTTCTTGAAATTACTTGAATACTGATATGCTCTAAAGAACAGGAAAATAATATATGGTCAAGCAGAGGTAAAATGTCATCAGTATATGCACTGAAGACATCAGAATCAAACTTAACTTTTTTAATACACAGTTTACTGGGCCACTAACCTGCTTTTTAGGAAGCAAWTCTTATCGAAGCAAGTTTACAACTGTTGGCTTCAATGAGCTTCAAGTGAGCTTCACACAGTTCAGAACAGACTATGTGTATTTGTAACAGTGTGGAGACTATTCTTTGAAATGGTTTGTAGTAGCACTTTCTGCTTTCATACTCAATATCACTAAAATATTACAATCACCATGACAACAAAATGGGTTTATTATAAACAAAACCTTTATAATTTCTTCAAAGCGGCTTACAAATTTAAAAAAAACATACTTGAAGATTTCAGACATGGTAAGTCACCTCATTTTTATGCTGATCTACGAGGTTTTCTTGCAGCTTTGCTTTTTTTTGCAGATGCACCAACTCATATGCAACAGAAATTGTACTTTTCTCCAATGCAGCAAGGGAAGCCTTGATATAAACATAGAACATATAAACATTTTACCAGTGTTATAAAAATAGCCCATTCTACAATATTACCAGCARGTGACCTGCAGGCATTAGGAAGAGTAACATAAATATTCTTTCTGTCAAACAAAAATGATAGTCCATAGTTTCTTTGTCAGCTCATGAGAACATTTATATCTGAGGATACATACAATACAAAACCTGTAAGCTATTTCAAAATTGAAATTAATATTTGAGATAAACTCAGTTCTTTGATAAACTCTTTCTTTGAAAGGAATCTTAAGAAACATAATAGAAATAAATCTACTTATGCAATTGTGCATTTACTAACAGTAAAATAAATAGCATCCTGATTAAGCAGATATATCATCAGATAACCCTGTCCCTAGCTTTGCTATAAATTTCCCCTGAAAACTTTYCAATGTCTCATTTACCCTGACTATTATAAATGGATAGCAAACTTTATTCTACTGGTTTGAGRTCTCTAGAAAGAAGATCCAAAGAGAATTAATGTGGTTACTTCTTTACTGTATGAGAAATGTAAAGCCATTCAACAATMATTTATATGCTCACCTCTAAGTTTCTGTTTTCAAGGTAAATCTTCTCATTTTCAGAGTTAACAGAATTTAGGTTTCTAAGAATTTCCTCCTCTGAGTTTCTTCTCCATTTCTCCCTTCTTTCAATGTGTTCTGTCAGGCCTGTGATCTGTCTTGTTAGGCAAGAAATTCTCTATAATATACAATGCTTTTAAAGCTCTCACCATGAAAATGAATTAAACTTCAACACATTCTCCTTCATTGTTTATATGTTTATATACATATACATAAATAAAAGGGGGAATGCAACCAAAGAAAGGAGTATCTACTGAAATAAACTCTCTGAAAGAGGWGAGTTTCTACTCCAAGGAAGGGGTTCCAGCTCAATTATAGAACACCAAAYCATAATTTCAAGAGACCCCATGTATATGCACACTATACAATTGGATAATTGGTTGGGTAATTTYATTCTGCTTTTCTTTACGTGAGTAAACTGTTCAAATGGGCATCTGAGAACCCTTCTCTATCCTGTAGTGAGGTGAGACATTATTGGAACTGAAATAATTTTGCCATCACTAGTCTGAAATAGGAACTAGAAGCCAAAGAACCTTTTTCTATTCTGTAAAYACAAGGGTTAACACTCAAGCTATTGAATCAGTTATTAAATAAGTAGTTTTTATGTGGAGGTAGTATAGCAGCTGCTAGCAAGTCCAGGCTAATCAGAAGTATGCAGGGAAAAGAATATGTTCCTTACTGGTAAAGGGGAATACAGTTTTAGAAGATGTGAAATGCAACAGAGAGCAGGCAAAAAATCTTAAATTTGTTCTTTTTCAACTTCTAAATTCTGCWTAGAATTTGAAAATATTAATAAACTCTGAGTATTGCACTAAACATTAACACTGTAACTACAGAAATAAACAAAAAATATACAGTCTGACTTACTTCTCAAGATCTTGTATTTGAACTTCTAGAATTGTCTTTTCTTCTACTATTCTATCATGCCTTTTTTTCCAGACATCAGAAGCTGACAATATCTCACACAGTTTGACTTCCTAGAGAACGTAGAAATTATAAATTATGTAACRAAAGAATGCCACTGAAGAATGCCATTTAATTCTAGAAATTTTTCTAAAGACAAGAGCTATTTAATATAAGATAGTTTTATTTGATCTCCTTGTACAAAACAATACAAATTTTCTCTCATCTAAAAATAAAATCAGCAGAATTACCCACATTTTTAAAAAATCAAAGTCTAAGTACAGACTTACTTTCAAGGCAGAGATGCAGTTAAACACTGGTACTGTATGTCAACCATAGAAAGTAACATTTCAAAATGTAAGATGACAATCTTCAAATAAAAAATTGTCTTCAATATATCTCAACTACATATAAATTACACAAATTAATGAACAAATAAAAATGCGCCAAAATATTTTAAGCATGAAAAATACTAACTAGGTAAGAAATGAAACATTAACTAAAATCCATTAAAGGAATATAGAYAATTAACCAATACATGCAATGAGGAAGAAAACAACAGTGTGACTACAAAACATCAGAAGTTCAGGAGTTAGTTGCTGTCCCTCTGTACTGCTAATTTTACTTGAAGATACACTACTGTCTTCTCACAAAGATCCAAAAATACTAAAACCGTTATTAATCTTCTCCTGGTACACTAAGTGGAAAAATATATCTTTAATAACATATCCAAAATTATTACAAAGCATATTGTATGAATACATATTCTTATTMGGAAATCCAAATGGGGCAACAAACACAGTTTTGTGCACCTGACATTTTTGAACAAATACAAACTATTGATAGGTAGAGCCAGATTCCAAGGAACAACTTGGATTAAGGAAGAAGTTTTATACTTGGATTTTGAAAAGGTTTGGAGCAAGCAGCTTAGAAACAGAAAGCTAAGTAACCACGAGACATCACATAATAATAAATAAAGAAAACTAAAACTTCAAACCTCAGTCATGAATTCTCAGTTAGTACACTGGATTTCTGAGTTAGTCAGTGCTTATCCACAGAGGAGTAACAGGAAGACCAGGAGAGGTTTAACCAAAAGCTGATGAGAACTCTCTTACTTCCCACGGTTTGAAATATACAACTTAAGACTCAGAACTTAAGACAACCACCAAATTTTGACAAAACCAAGGCAGTTAATAGTAGCAGCAACCTTTTAATTTAATAGTAATAGCAACCTTTTCCTTAACAAATGAGCAATGAAACAAAAGACATACAAGCACAGCATGATCAAAAACCTTTTATATTTTCCACAGGTGTAAGTCTTGCAATTGTAAAATTTCAGACAATACAACACAACATTTGTCACAGCATAGTCACTCACATGTTCTCTTATTTTAGAGGTTAGATCTTTCACAGCTGCTTCAAAGCGCTGAGCTCTTTGTTCCTGGGACCTTATTGCTTTTTTCAGAGCAATCTTCTTTTGCTCACTTGTTTCCTTTAAAGCTAACTTCTGGATTTTGCAGTCTTCAATTTTGCGTTTCCACTCTGCTATTTTCTTTTCTAGAGTCTGCAGCATAATTAAATGTCAACTCTTCAAATTCTAAACCTTACAGATAATTTAGTGATATAAAATAATTGGGAAGAGCAGTTACATTTATAATCTGTTTCCATATTATCTTGGTATCTCAAATCTTTTGGTTGATACAAGAAGCTAACTAGGTACAACAGTAGACAAGAAAATACAGAGATAAAGTCATTACAAAGATGAAGAGAAAATGCTGAGAAAGTGCAGGTGTAGGCAGGAGTAAGGGGAAAGAGCAATCTAACCATCTCTGAGTGCTCTTGGAAATGAATGCAGAATTTCAAGGTAGAAGACATGGCATGGATGTTAAACCCATTTATGAGGAGGAAAATAAATGGTTTCATCAGAGTATTTCTGTAAAGATTATCATCTTAATGGTGCTACCAATGATATGCACTGATGTATTAGAGTATGTGCTCTGAATCTAGTGACACACTCMCTACTGTGTCTGGAGACAGGCTGTATGACTGTATATTAAATTTTAATATAAAAGTCACTATCTTGGATTTGTGTTTTTCAAAGTCAGGAAGCTAAGAAAGGCTGGGATCTTTTCCTTGATTATATGTATTACAATACGGTCTGTGATTACTGAGCAACTGTGACAATATACCATTTATTTGCAAGACCCCTTAATTTTTTCCATGCATAAAATGGCCCCACTGCATTAATGACATAGATTTGTTTAATGAAGAATCTATTTTTGGGAAACAATGAAGTAGCAATGCGTTTTAATCCACTTAATAATATTGTGATCATATACAAAGGAGTCAAGATGGGAACTGGGTTCTACAACTGTCATTATCTTATCTTTTCTATTGCTGTTATTATTTCTGACTAACTAGATGTTTACATGACTCTGATGAAGACAGAATACTGATCCCATACCATCCAGGAAGCTGATCTGTCTAACTTCATGACTTTTGTATTTTTCATCTACATACCACATAAATATGAATGGAAAGTAATAAAGACAYAAAACACTACATGATGATGTTCATTAAGAGATTCTGTTTCAAGGAGATCTCAGATCCATTTATCAAAAATGACCAAGCTACCAATAGACAATTAATTTCATAAAGACAAGTGTAAATGTTATTAACATATCTTATTATTATTCTTCCTCCAAACTCCAGAAACGTAGGTGAGCCAGCAGTATAAATAAATTTCTCAGTTCAGGGATAAATTTSCTAATTGTAGAAATGATTGATGCATTTGTTTCCTTCTTTTTAGCCTAGCTCAGACATTACATTATGTACTACATGAATAAAGACCAACTACTCAGCTACTGCCTATGTGAACGTACCAGCCTAATTCAAGGTACTCATTGCYAGTTGCTATAAAATATGTATATGATGCATGAGGGGATATCTCTCTGTATAGGTYCTGCTAATGGCCCCAAAACGTTTACACAATCAAAGCAAAATATATGTGTTTTTTCCAAGTAAAGGATGGTCTCAGGTACTGGCATTAACAAAAAGGAAAAGGTACTACCTCAAAAAATGAAATTATCTAAAAACCCCRAAATATGTACAACTTCGTCCTATATAAATGCCTACAGGGCATTTATAATAAACAAAGATGAGGCTAGAGGTGSTGGATAAACACCTTCAATAAACATAGCAAATAGGAAATCTCGCTCTGTGTGYGGATTTCTTTAACTGTTGGTGTAACAGCTGCCATCCCCTATTATAACCACAGGGGGTCAGAATCACACTAAGAATAAGTCCTGTGGGCASTAGTCAGTGGCTGAGATAAATTCAAATTGAGTACTAATTTCATAWGGGTAATGCTAAACTTTTTGCTAGCTTTTGTTTAGATATTAACAAAATCAACACTAGGATTTAAGCTAGCAAATTATTTCAGAAATTTGTGAAAGTCAACAAAAATTGAATAGAGATTGAATGAAAATATAACTACGTATCGAGTTATTTTATCTAATAAAAACATTGTYGGAATTCTATAATTGTACTAGATAGAACAAGAAAGCATTTTTATTTAGAAGAAAACATGAGGCATTTATGCAGACATAGACATGATTTGAAGTAGCCYTGATACAGGTTATGCAAAAATTTCAAATTATACAATTAACAGGAGATGCATGCTAGTAAAAAAATGTTTGGAAATTACAAAYACATTCTTTTTAGTCAATGTTTTCTCATTCATGCCTATGTGCTTGACTAGTTTAATATACTGTATTCCAAGGCCACATACAGCTCCAGCCCCTCACACATGACCTCCTCCTTATTTTTTTCTAAAGCCAGTAACTGATACAAATGCCCAAATTTAACTCGTGCTTTTCAGAACAGAAAATGGAAATAATTCAGCCTGCCTTAAACGAGATTAGACATTAGTCCTAAGTGCTTCACTTTCAGTCAGTATTAAGAGACTTAGTGATTCTTCCACAGACAGTAAGAAGAAACAGGATGTGGCTCTCACCATTCTCTTAGAACAGAAAGTCACCATAGGGACTTGCCTATCTCTTTCTCTTGACTGTATGGASACTGTCTTCTAGGCAGTGCAGTTAAGTGAGTGCAAACTCTCCTRTGCATGTTTCACTTTACACTTTTCACTGGAACTGTACAATTGTGCACAARTTAAGAAAAGAAGAAAAAAACCWAAAAAACAACCTTGCAATCAAAATAATGTGGTCAGCCAGATCTTGCAAAATGTAAATACTTATGATTTTAACTGTTTTGGATTTTTCTTTTACCAAGAATTTGATTTCAAAACAGGCCACAGTAAGGTTTTGCTAATTTTTTCCAATAAATTGAAACACAAGTAAAAATATTTTGACCTGTATTTTCGCTCTTATTTCATTATTTTCTGCTTCTTTTCTTTCAATCTGACACTGCAGGTGAACTTGTACTTCCTTTACTGATCTTGACAGCTGTTTTCGTCTCTGTATGTTTCTCTAAGAAAGACAAACAAACACCAATCTATTGAGTATGCTTTATTATGCTCTATTTTTTCTACTTTGCCGTAGTTTCTAACTGACATTTGAATATCCTCGAAACCTGGAAAAGATAAAACATGCTCTATAAGGATATTTACAAGCAGTAACTTGCTACTAATTGTGTTACTGTTAAACAGAAATCACCGTCTTGAAACAATTTATGYGTAATTATTGCATCATATTTAATCTGGGTTTAACTAGGAATAAGGCCCGGATGCATGAASTCAGAAGTCCAGGTTGAGCAAAGGCATCCAGCTAGCAGGATGACTAACATTAAGCCACACTGATCAGCTGTGCTCTGACTAATTAGACCTAAACTGACCTTSATTAAATTCCAAATAGCATCTGCTATTAGAAGCATTGATACATTTAATTCAAACTTTAATTTTGAGGGATATGTAAATCATAAGGGAAGAAGCAACTTATGTCACCAGAAGTCCCCAGAAGGGTCAAATGATTCTGTGAAATTTCTTTCAACTTGATTCCTTTGGCTCATTCTAAGTAAGAATAAATAAGGTAGAAAAGTACTGTCTTACCAGTATAGAGTAAAATAGACTAAAAGAATGTACCAGTGCAAGTGTTCATTATAGATGTCAGTGAGAAAGACCGATTCAAGTCAAGTGTTGGTGAAAATGCCATTTACAGAAATTAATGTAAGAAGGAACAGGTGGATAGCATAGAAAATAATTTATTCTTTCAGATGCTGGGCACCTTAAAWTGTTCAGTATTAGGTAGGTCTCTAGTCAATGCATGGTATGCCACATAGATCCCATCAACATTGAGGACTGCTGGCACTGGGATCTTCAGAATCTTTGTAGGCTTTTCTGTTCAGCATTTCCATTCTCAAGCAAAAAGATTTTTCTATTAAAATGTGCTCCTTCACTTTAAGATAAAGACAAGAACTGCCACAGGCTCCTCTATTATGACCAGCTGATTATGTTTATCTGGCAGCCAAGTGATATGTTCTCAAGGGAAAAAAAAAAACTCGTAAAGAACCATGGCTCTTAAAAACCCTCACAGAGTTACTATTATCAAAGTACACCACAGTCCCCCCTTTAAAAGTTTAACTGAGTCTATTCTGTCCCTCACTAATGCTGAACCATGCTGCATTGCATACACATGAAGTGCACTGTAGGTAYTCAATCTGTAATACAGATTGCCAAACTACCAGCAACACAATTTTCAAACTTGTACAGCACCTTCTCATACAGAACAGACAATTTCTTCCTCCAGTGTTGGTTTTTGMACTGAGCCCCTTCTTTTGGTGTAAAGAATGAATGAGCTCTTGAGAGCCTTTGATTGCATTAGTGCTCCTGTCTGTACTACCTTTCCTTAAAAAAACATGGAAACTAACTGTGAACTGTATCTTTCTCTTACTCCACATTGCTTCCTCATAAGTACTTTTTTCCTAAAACCACTGCAAACCAGTCAAAAGCCATTAATCTGGATGTGTGCCYTTCCCTGAACCTTAGGATATTAATGTATATCTGTATCCTTAGTTGSCTTGAGTACAGTTTTGATGGTTTTAAGACATTTCTGTAAGAAATACCTTTCAGGATTTTATTTTTTTTCATAGGTCTTTGAAATAAGTGTTTTACTGAAAATTTTTATTTTGTAATTAAGAATCTAGTACATTGGAAGAATTCATTCCAACAGAACTGGTCACTCACTTTTTCGCACTGAAGCATGGATGAAAGTTCYTGAATCTCTTTCTCCGTTTCAAGTATTTTTTTCCTGAGACTCTTCATGAGGGGGAAAAAAAACCCAAAAGAAATTATTTTAACACCTGTATACAACAATGCATCAGTAATGAACATTTATRAAGATTTCAGATGTAAAACTAAGACTCAGTTTTGTGATGGTAAACTACAATTAGTCCCATTTGGCCACTGTTACTGGAAATTTTATGACCCTATAAGGTAGCCAATTTCAGATGTACAGCATAAAACAAAGAGAATGAAATTTTCATTTACTTACAGTATTCTGAATTTCATTTTCACTTAGCTTCTGCGTCCAAGTGTCAATGCTTTTACTGTTTAACTGCAACACAGGAAACATTAAAAATTTCTTCTGATTATAACTGGTTTAGCACTTTTTCAATGATTTTTAATTGATTACATATAATTTGTTATATTTTCAAATCTGGTACACATCAGTATAAAAGCCCACATACTCACAAGCTACTTAGTGGTTTAAACACTAAAGATTCAATTTGTTTTGTCACAGAACTTTGTAGCTGAAGAAAACAAACCGGGATTATTCTATATACCTATTTATTTCTTTTTTTTTAGTTAGAATGACTCTAAATACCATAAGTATTATTTAAGTATATAGTTAAATGGTAAAAGCATTTGAAGAACTGACCATATTTCAAAGACTAATATTAAGACTATTATTATGTTCTAAAGCCTTTCAGGAACCTCAGTTAGTAAGGAGAATTTGAAGATAAACCAGAAAACATAAGCTGGAAGATTACAAAAATCAATTTGCATTAACTCTTTCTACAATTTATGTGCCTATGATATTGTCAACTAAATTTGTTAAAATCTCCAATTGTGTGTGCATGCACATAACTTTCTATTTAAGAAAAAAAAAAAAAAAAAAAAGTAGACTTGTGTGGCTTTCAGACTGTGAATCCCAAACATTTTCATAACTTAATTTCACTAATTAGAAAATAAACCACAAACTCAAGTTGGAAACTTTGGCATCCAAATTTCACTACAACTCCTTCATCTTATCCTGGCCTGCATGTAGTTCCTCATAATGTTCTGTAATTTCAATCCTGTGCCTATCTGTAAAGTCAGGACATGGACCTCAAGTCTGCACCCTGGTTTCCACCTTTGCATGCATAGTAAATTTATAAATATTGTATTCAGTAGAAGTCCTAATCTTTCCTGACTACACTGAGTCAGATTTTCTATCAGCAAAAAATAACATATAAACAGGAATGCTGTTTTTGACCTGACAYGAATTTATCAGCAAAAATACTTAGAAGGCTTTCCAGAATTGAGAAGTGATTAGAAACCTAAATTACTTGTACCATCTTTCCATACTCATGAAATTGTTTTCCCCACAGTTTGTTCTTTATGAACTTTCTGTCATTTTGTTGAATGATCAGTAGAAAGATGCATGCTTGTCAAACAACTAGCATTGTTTATGAAAACCTGAAAATAAAGATTATCTTCAAAATTAAAAATAAAGTTCAGAATAGACATCCATCTTTGTTGGCTTCTGAAACAGAGTTAAGAAAGTCATTAAYGACAAACTATATTTAATTTTAAGTCTACATTCTTCACTCCATCAGGTTTTCGTGTGAGTTCCACATGTGAGTTCCACATGTCTATTATTACACAGGAATYAATTCAGTTCCACCTCCTGTTTTAACGAACATAGTTCAACAAACTCATCCAAATTCTTAGGAAATTTTGTAGTGCACAGTTCATTACAAAAATCTTCCCCTCAATATRTCTATTAAAGGAGATTATATGACTAAATGTTTTCTTCAGACTTGTGTAAGAAACCTACATTTACATTGCTCTATGTTTATGTCTGACATATTTTCTTACTTGGTGTTCTAGACTGTCAGATTCTTCACTCWTATCAGGAAAATATTTTTCATCTTGGATGGCTTTTGTAGTTCTATGAGAACCCTTTTTATATGCCTGAGTCAGTGAACAGAGTTTTCCTGKTTTTCCAGATGGCACACGTGCTTTTCCCTGAAATAGCATTCATAATTACATAACAATTAGTTTCACTCACAGTTAGGTYACTGATATTGCTAATTCAAGGATATCAACATAAAACATTTCACCCCCTCAAGAGAGTMCTTTAAGAGAGAGTTTAAAGATCAAAGAAACATTTAGGACGTTCAACAAGGGTATCATTGTGATATCATTGATGTACCCTCCAAGAGTTTGTCACAGAACACGCCTAATCTACAAGGCAATGGCAAATAGACTACCTCAGTTAAGATGGAGGCCAAGACCTGCTCAGATACCAATGTTRAAGTTTTTCACAGCAGACTTCTTTCAGTTTGGAGGCAGCAATGGATTTCCTCTTTTCCCAGTTTGGAAAACTTCTCACCAGACAGAGCTGCTCAGGAAAACAGGCTGCCCGTGTCATGGCAAGTCCAGAGTCACATCTAAATGCAGATGGCTAAATGCATCCCATTCCCCGCACTTCTTCGTTAAGAACCAGGAATCTGTCATCACCTTCACCCCTTCTCCAAACACCTCTCTCCTGCCTCTACTCCAGTGTGATGGATGCCTTCACCAAGCACAAGGAYATCTGTTTACTCCACTCAATGCTCCACTGATTCCTCATTACTTTTTCAGAAGTGGATTGTGTTGCCTTCTCCACCTACCAGGACCAATTTCTCCTGTGCTCAACCTGTGCCAAGTGCATCTCCATCAGAAAGWTTTGTCAGACTAAGAGTTTATATTCTTACATCCATATTCTCCTTGACATAATTGAGAAAATGAGTAACAAATTTGGGAAGTTCCCAACTTAAATAATCACTTCCTCACAGAATCAGAATGCAGACTGCTCTGTTTCCAATTGTTGTCTTAAGGCAAATAAGCAGACTCAGACATCTGAGGTTTTTTTATTTTATGTGTGTGTGTTGTTTTATTACAGGATCAGATTTCCTGGCAGACTTCAACTTGTGTAACACAGTACAATTCTCTGTAGCCTTTTCCWGGATATACAAGCGAAACCAAGTTCTTGAATTTAATTACTTCCAGTGAAAACTGCACCTTGAAAGATTAAATATCATGCCTCATTTATGATATCTGTGTAGCAGAAGAAAACAAATAARAACTTTGCCATAGTTTCATTATACTGTTGCTATGCCCAGCACTGTCACTTAGCCATCTTTTGAAATATCACCTACTTCACATCTATAACCGGGAATTATATTTTGAACCTTGTTAACAAAGTAAATATAATTTTAAAAATCAAGCCTAAGAGGAACAGAATGAACTTGCCTCAACAGTGTGAAGAATAACAAACTTTTCCTGAAGATCAAAGTCCAATGAAGGAGCAGTACAGTCACGTACAGTTAAAGAGAAGGATGATTGTGATGATGACGATGACGATGACGACATTTTGATTTAATGCTGTATAACAAGACAGTATATGTCAACATATATTGGTGTTCCATGATCAGTAACTGAAGCATTACTGGCATCCCAGGCTGTTCCCACTGCAGTAGAACTACACCCAGTTCACAGCAAAGATGTAACACAGGTAATGCGATTGAAATCTTCCGCAAGAATTCACAATTTCCAATTGCTTAGGCAGCACTTTGTGARTTCACAAATTTGGTACACAGAAATCAAATCGTTCCACAGCAGAAAACTGAATACACACGAATGATGGAGTAAACCATGCAGCCGTGGTTTCCCACTTCCATGCTCCTGGCACAGAGGGGAAGGCTCAGGGGCACCGGACACTCAACGCCAGCCCTCACCCCAGGCCCACATTAGGGCTCTCACCTCACCAAACACCCCTGTGCCCACTGCCTGAGGCTCCCACCCCTGGGTGGTCCCACGGGTCATCCCCCCTCAGCACCCCTCCTGTGGGGCAGTGTCCCCTCAGCACCGCTCCTGTGGGGCAGTG